GAAATAACTAAACAGACTAGAATACCTCAAATTATTCGAAGAACAAATCAGCCTACAACACACCTAATTGCAAGCATGGAGCGGGGAAACTTGAACAAGAAAAGGCAACAGAATAATATATACGGAAGATAGCACTATTGAACAGGAACACCCAACTTAAAAGAACGATAAAGCTAAATAGCGAGTGACATTCACGGCATAGACATTTTTTACTCAAAAAAAAAACAAGGGCAAGGGAGTTATTTTAACAGCAAAGCCATCCTTAATCTAAGGAAGAGAAGCCAAACAAAAGCTTGAGAATTGAAGAAATCGGCCTGGGAGAAAATGATTCTAAAAATGAAGCTAAACAAACTGATTGAATATTTAAGACTCAACCAAGCTATAAACACAATACTCTGAAAATCAAGCTAAGGCAAAAGAGAAAAACAAGCAGCAACCGGGAGAGAAGTGATTAGACATCAGTCCTTCGGTATCCATAATCGCACATTCGAATAATTCTGAATCAAAACAAACTAAATTAAAGGAGTGTATATCTATTGGAGATCGATATGATCAGACTAAACCAGAAACAAAAACATTCAAGAACAATAAACAAAAACACCTTATGACTAACTTACGAGATACAAAGATATGCTAAGAACACATCATAAACAAAACAACATAGAAGAACTAGGAATTAAATAAAGCCAAGAAAGGATTTATCTCTTTCCGGGCAGTGAACGGAGACAAGACGAGCGAGGTGAGGACCTTTCAATACCACAAACAAAGGTTTCGATGAACTTACGTAAACAAAGAACGCACAAGAGAACTAAGCAAACTCTGTATCCTCAATCTATGCGATTTTAAAGCTTGTAAGTATTTGAATATAACTATCTCGCTAGCAATTTTATTGTATTTTCGTCCCTAATGGCAGATCATTCTTATATTTCTTCCAACCCCCAACAATGAAGATGAACACCAGCTTTTATAGAGGAGATTTTGGGCTGGAAAAGGTGGGAAATGGAGGGATTAAGATGAAATCCAAATTTGAAATTCAAAAATCTCTAAGAGTTAAGGTTGTGAGAGATGGAATAGTACTGATCTCGTACAATTCCAATGGATAGAGAACCATGGCCGTCCGATGATCAGCCAAGGACAAGGGAGGCACTGAGATTAAGACACCTGGAAGATTCTTCGTACGGAGGATGAGGACGTGGGGAGAACGACGTAGCTGGGTCGATGGACTCGGGTCGCAATTTTTTGTTGGGAATCTGTTGGGTCATGATAGAGTTTCTGGGTTTGGGTCATTTGGACTGCTGGAGTTCTGGGTTGTGCAAGGAAGAAGAACAAACAAGGGTCGCGTTGGTTTGGTCGCGTATGGTATCGCTGATTGTATTGTATTGCTGGACTGGATCGCTGAAAAGAGTATTATGGGCTGCTGAAATTAATTTGAGAAAGGGAGAAGTGGGCTGGAAATTTGAAATGAAAAGGCCCAAAAATAGGTCTTACAAAGAGTTGAAGTAAATTGATTATATTTGGCAAGAATTGTAATTAAACAATAGCCCAAATAAATTTCAAATGTGACCGAATTTATATAAATTAATTAATGAGCTTCTTACTCTTAACGAAATAAAATAATTAATTTAATTATAAACTAAATAACTTAAATTATAACCCATTGAATAATTAAACTAATTAATTAAGTGTTTAACTAAAACAAAATCTTTTTTTGAGATAATTTTCGAATATTTATAAAATATACTAATTATATACAAAATTATATAAAACATATATATTATTTAAAAATTATAAAAATTATAAAATTGATTAAAAATAACTTGAAAAATATTTTGAACTTTTTAAAAACTAATTATTTCATATCGTTTTGAAATTTAAGAAACTCGATGATAAATTTATATTATGGAGGATCAAAATTGGGTGTCAACAACTATCATATAAACCCGTTTCCCATCACCTTGTTAAATAACGAAAGTTCCTTTGATGCTTTATATGAGCATATCCCCTCTTTATACACATCTTCGGACTTTTGGTTGTCTAGCATATGCTACTGTTCCTAAAGTCCACAAGAATAAATTTGGTCAAAGATATGTTCCTCCTAGGCTACCCCTTTGCAAAGAAAGGTTACAAACTATATAATCTTCATTACAAAGTCTATTTTATTTTCTAGAGATGTTCGTTTCCATGAAACCATCTTTCCTTTTTCTATTCAACAACCCCCTCCCTCCATTGTTTTTCCTCCCATTTATTTCTCTGAGGACTTCCCTTCAATCTGCCCCTATTCCACCATTTTTTCCTTCCCTCCTTTTATCCCAACCTTCCCTTCGTTCCTCATATTCTATCCCAACACGTGTTTCTTCCAGACCTCGCGTCACACCACACCATCTTATCATAAGGCCTTATTCATATGCTCCTTGTTTAGTTCTTCCCCTTATCCTTGCTCCTCATCTATTTCCTTGCAGTATTCCATAACTGAGCAGCTAGTGTTTGAGCCCTACACTTATAGTTAGGCAACCTCTATCACTGCTTTGCAAAAGGCTATGAGCCTAATTTTTCTGCTTTGGTAGCCAATTCCACTTGGGAGATTATTGAGCTTCCTTCTGGTAAAAATCCCATTGGCTGCAAATGGGTTTACAAGATAAAATATAAGGCCGGTGGTGTTGCTGAATGATTCAAAGCTCGGCTAGTTATGAGGGGACACCCAAGTTGAAGGTGTTAATTTCTATGAAACTTTTTCTCCAGTTGTAAAAATGACCACTATCAAATCCATGTTGTTGTCGCTGTCAAAAAATAGTGGCCCTTGTTCCAGTTAGATGTTAACAATACTTTGCATGGTTACCTTGATGAGGAGATCTATGTGAGGCTTCCTCCTAGCTATTCTGTTTCTGTCTCTACTACCTCTCCTCCTCTCGTCTATAAGCTCCAAAAGTCTTTATATGTGTTGCGCCAAGCCACTCGACGATGGTATGCCAAGCTACCCCAAGCATTTCTTCTAGGGGTTACACTCATTCCTTGAATGACTACTCCTTTACTAGAGTTTCTGGTGGGTCCATTGTTGTGGCGGTTGTGTATATGGATGACATAATTCTCATCGGCATTGACGTTGCCAAGATTTCCTCCTTGAAATAGGATCTGGAGTGCCAATTCAAAATAAAGGATCTGGGTGCTCTCAATTATTTTATGGGCATTGAGGTCTTATATTACTTCACCAAAGGAAATTCATTCATGATCTCTTTCTCGCTCTTCATTGTTCTTATGTCTCCCCTATGGTGTACCCTCACAAAATGAATGTCAAACTCCGCCTCCATGAGGGTGATCCTTTGACCATGCCCGAGGAGTATCGCTCCCTGATTGGCAAGCTGAAATTTCTTACAGACTAGGCCTGACATCTTCTTTGTTGTTTAACGCCTCAATCAATTCATGCAGTACCTTTGTGTTCCGCACTTGACTTCCGCATTACATTTGTTACGTTATGTCAGAGGGACCCCTGATCATGGCATTTGTTTTTACTCCAACCCTAATACTTCCATCTCTATCTATTGTGACAGTGATTAGGTTGCTTGCTCTGTTAGTCTATTTTTGGTTTTGTGTGTTGTTGGGTTGTTGCCTCATTTCTTGGAAGCCTAAGAAACAGTCCATCATGTCCTTATCATCTGCTAAGGCTGAATATCGCTCTCTTAGCAAAGTTGTTGTTTCGCTTACTTGGTTATCTCGCCTTTTGTCTGATTTTGGCATCACATGATCTTCTATCCCGGTACATTGTGACAATCAGGCTACTATTCATATTGCCCGAAATCTTGTTTTCTATGAGTGTAGCAATCACATTGAGTTGGTCTGTCATTTTTTTCACACGAAGATGACTAATGGTCTCATCTGTCTCCTCCATAGTCCTACTACTTCTGAGTTGGTGGACATTTTCACCAAGGTCTTACATGGTCCTGCTCTCATCATGGTTTTCTTCCCAAGGTAGGGGTGCTAAGATCCCTCCAACTTTAAGAGGGGGGGGGGGGTGTTGGAATACCTCCAGTTCCAGATTAGTCCATTAATTTTCATATAAAGTATATAAACCCCAACAATTTGGGTGCTAATCACATCCTATCACGAAAGTTTTCCAAATTACAATAATCCTGAATTTTTAAAAACTCACGGATACATTGCTCCTTCGCTTGATATATAGCAAACAATACATGAGTTATGTATCATATTCATAGTTATCTATCAAATACATACCTATAAACCAGATTCATATGTTTGAAATAATTAAGGTTATGTATCTGCAATAACATTTGTACCTAATACATTGTACGCAAAAAATATTGTAATGTATCTTATAGAAGTGGAGTGATGTATCCGAATGATAAGAGAGAGAAGGAAAAAATGATTTTTGTAATTAATTCAAATTGTAGAGATTATTTGTAATTAATTCAAATTGTAGAGATTATTTGTAATTAATTCAAATTGTAGAGATTATTAGAGATTATGTTATCTTAAGTCGTATGATAACGTAATTTACACTTAATTTTCTTATTTAGTTCATTTATTTGTATTAGGCTTGGCCCGCATATGTAATTATGTGTTGGGTCCATTGTATGTACATGGCCCATGTCTTATCACATTGTAATACAGTTGAGAAAATAAAATCTGAACAAAAAATCCTCTCCCCTTTCTATATGTGGGTGCAACTCTAGCATTTCGTCTTTTACAATCTGAATATTTCTGGGTTTAACATCCGTTCATGAAGCTTTAGGGAAATAAGGTAAGAAAACATTGTCATGCACCAATTACACCTACTGTGGATTTTCAGAATTTGCAGTTAAAGAAAAACTCTTTCCGCAATATATGTTTGATCATTTACGGCTAGAGTTAGGGATATTAAATATGCATTTGATACTCCACAACTTTTGAGTGAATTTAAACTTATAACTTCTCCGACAATCGAAGTACAGAGTTACATTCATGTTCTAAATTCCCTAGAGTAATGAGCTTAATAGTAGAAGATTTTCAAAAAAAGAATTGGATTTTATATATTATATATATCACAAAGTCAATATATAGAGAATTATTGAAGATGTCCAACAATCTACTAAAAAGATGGTGCACTCAAACTTCAAAGCCTACTGGCATGTATAGAAGTCTGTTTCTTAAGGTACAATATGCCTCTTTTATTCTTTTGACTCAACAACTTGCTGAAACAGCACAACTGCAAGAGTAACAAGGGAAGCATAAACAGAATTGGGCATCTTTTGAACCACCTTTCCAACATGTGGGACTCCCTCTGTTGACCTCTTCGTTAGCACAGCGATACTTGGTGCTACTGCCAACGTAATAAGTAGTCCCTGACTAACCATAATAAAAGTATCCTTAGTTAATTTCCTAATGAACTTCACCAACTCTTGACGGTCTAGTTCTCCGTCAGTATTGATATCACACTCCTGTACATGAAAACAAAATAATCAAACACTTCTGTGATAAACTCAAATAGTAATACATTGTTAAAAGTAAGCTAACCAGTAAAAAAAAGTAAAAGAAAGGAAATAAGCCATAATTGAAAAGGCAAGCAAATGTAGGACGAGGGTAAAATAAAAACATATTTTTTCAGAGTAGGAATATGAAGAAATGTGAATAGGAGAAAATAATTTCAACTGATAAGATTCCTAAAGAAACATAAGAAGATAATTTTTCATATAACTACAATACCACTTCAAGTTCTCTCTGTATATATCGCAGGATGAAATCTTTTCACTTCCAGTTCTTTTGATAAACCAAACAAGAAAAAGAAAATTTCTCCCTTAACTTCTTTCCAAAGAAAATGGAAGAATCGGTAAACAAAGTAAAGTTCCCAAAACGATACACATGAGCAAGCAGACCATATTCACTTGGTAATAAAGATGATGCTCCCTCCGTTTCCTTGTTTGTCATGTTTTGACTTGACATGGAGTTTAAGAAAGTAAAGAAGGAAATTGAATGAATCATTTTTAGATATCCATTACCATAAGACGTACTTTAAATGAAAACAGAGTGATTAGAATGGTCTAGGCACGGCCACAGTGATTCAATCAGCAATGCGATGAATGAAAATTAAAACATGAGGTAACTGAACAATGCACGAAGACTAATAGTGTAGCAGCTAATGGAAACATACCTGCATCAGGGCTCTAACTTGATGTTTTGTAGGAGGATCAAAATGAGGACCCGGTAAACGTTTATTGATATCACTGGAAAGTGATAAGACGTTAGCAGCTTCCAAGTAATAAACATGTATACATACAGATATATAAAAATCACATTCTTACTTGAAAACAAGTAGCACAACAATATAAAGGTCTTCAAACTTGAGATTTTCTCTTCCTGAATCAATTCTGACACGGTCAAAGACCTTGTCTGTTATTTTTTGTATTTGTATCTCTCTCCACTGCTTACCTGCATCAGGTAAATGTGGTGTTTTATATTTCAGTAATACTGGCTTACTGTTGAGATGAGAAAATATATTTATTCATCACATTAACCTCAAATGTTAAACAAGGCTTAGAACAAGAAATAACTATTTGAGAATGCCAAGTGTTCAAACTTTTTATAAAACATGACTTGACAGTTGTATATATAACCTATTTATCCTTAATGGCCTGAGTACATACTATGCATAGTTAGATAGTTATGAGGTGTAAGTGTTATGAATCAGCCTCATTACATCGTCTCACATATACTCCGCGGAAACTTGCGGTTAATGTTTAGGTGTAGACTTACCAGCCCAAAAGAAAAGCCTCCAATTGATTGATTGATTCAATGGAAGTATAAGACCAAAATAAGCTACATTTGAAGGAAATCAAATTCATGAATAGGTAACTACTGAAGATAAGTAATAATTCAATAACACAGAGACAAAAAGGAGGGTAACATGATGACATTCATTGATGTGGGAACAAAGATAGTGGTAGTTTGAAAATATCCAGATTAATATAGTAAAGTTGTGTCATGATTGAGGAGAGGACAAGACATGTTTGATTTGTAATCTACTTTGACATTACAAATAAACAATAAAAATAACTTATAATAAGAGTTAGGGTCAGAAATCCATATCACAACTGCTACTCCCTCTGTCCCAATTTATGTGACACATTTCGCTTTTCGATAGTCAAACAATTTAAGTTTGACCGAGAATTTGCTCATGAATTTTTCAAAATTTTTAAAATGAAATTTATATATTTGTAAACTACACAAAAAAGTATTATAAGTCTCAATAATTGATAATACAAAATATTTAAAAGATATAGAAAAATATTACGGTCAAAGATAAACATGTTTGAATCTCGATATCCAAAATGTGTTACATAAATTGGGACAGAGGGAGTATTGTATTTATGTGTAAAGTAATTTCAACACTTATATCGGCTGTAATATTATTGAAAATAAAATTGGTGACAGTATAATGTAAATATTCCTGAATTAGCTATTCTATTGAAGATGAAGATGCAAATCTTTGCTGCAACTAGACTCCTCCCTCCGGTCCAAAATGAGGCGATCCAGATTCATAAAACCAACAATTTATATACATTTCTAATTATTTATTATAACTATATTTTTCGAATTCCTAAATCCAACCCTAAAATATCAATTATTTACACAAGAAAACTGTAATTGAAATCCGCATGTAGCAACTCAAATCAAGAAATATATCGAACAAAGCATGGATGTTACCTTTGAATTTTTGCAGAATCTGGCCCATCGCTCAGGTTTTAGTAGACTTAATGCCCATTGCCTGAGTTCTTCCATATCTGCTTCTCTGATTTTTCTCGACAATTTGAATATATCATTGTTTGCTCTCTTGAATAATAACTCCATATCGAATTTTTGTTTAAATAATTAGATGTTAACTCATTTAAGATAGTAGCTATCCCAATAATTCATTTTCCTGCATAGAATGCTGATATCTCCACTTTTTATATTTCGTCTTGTTCTTCTATTTTTTCTGGTATGATCATTTCTCTAGTTAATCCAATTTTTATAACTTGTATGATTGGCTTAATTTCATCATAAAGTATCTCGGCTGGTGCTGAATAGAATCTTATATAAAAAAGGGTTCCCTTAGTTATTCTTTTGTAGTGCATGAATGCTTTGTATAGCTCCGGTATTGTAGCTATTTCCTCTCCTGTCTGGGTGTATACTGTGTTCAGTAATCCATAGTTATAACAAGTTGCTACTAGATTTGCATTGTTCTTAGGTAAAGCAATTAGTTTATTGTATCCTTGTAGAGTTTGGGTAATATAATCTTCGTGTGGATTTTGGGTAGTTTTAGATCTGGGGTTTTTGTTTAAAAAGGTTTGTATTTTGTGAATGTTTTCTATATAGGCTCTGGTTATATGATTATAGATTTTCTTGTCCTGTCCTAAGCTGTCTTTGTAGTATTTATTTGTGGTGGTACAAATAAGGGGTTTTGATTTCTAGGTACAAATGGTTTTTCAAATATTTTGTTCATAGTTGTATTAACATATCTTTTTTCTTCTTTTGTAGATGATGTGCTACCTGTAGCTGCATGTAACAAATTGTTAGTTTGGGTTTTTCGGTGTTTCCCATCGTCACCTTCTAGCTCTGGAGTTTTCAAGTCTTCCAATCGACTTAGCTCCTCATATTTACCGTCATGCTGCTGACTTTTCATTTTTTGTATCTCTTTGTCCAGGCTATCTACTTTTGTACAAAGTAAGGTCATAGCATTGAATATTTTCTCAAGAGTATTTTCTTTGTCTAGATCCGTCTGTGTAGCTTTGTCTTGAAATGTAATCTGCAATAACATTTTTGTTAGTACTTATTACTTCTATTGTAAATGTAAAATTCTGTATATTTAATACTAGTCTTCGTATTTCTTTGGTTGTTACTGAATCTTGTATCTTCCTTGTGATCCACCATTTTACCTGCGTAATATCTGTTCTTACAATAAACTTATTATATACTATATATGGTTCAAAAGCTAATAAACATTTATATAGTGCATATAATTCATTTCTATTTATTTCCCATTTTATTTCGGGATTTGTAAATGTCTCTGAGTAATATCTACAATGATGTTCTATTTTTTCTTTATCATATTTATATTTTAGTACTCCTCCATAACTTATTTCGCTTGCATCTGATTCTACTATGTATATAAATTTTTTATTTTCATCTGGAAAATATAATTTAGGTAACTTCTTACATAATGATTTTATTTTTTGTATTTGTTCTTGATCTTTTTTATCAAAATAATATTCTACATCTTTCTTTAGTTTTTTATGCAAAGGTTTAAGATTTTCTGCTAAGTTGGGTATATATTCTCTTACTTGGTTTACCAATCCTAAAAATGATTGTACTTTCTTTTTCGTATCTATTTGTTCTTTAGAATTTATTATTTTTTGTACTATATGGTTTTGCATTTTTATACCATTTTTATCTATTTGTATTCCTAAAAATTCTATCTGATTTTTCATTATTTTTGCCTTTTTCTTACTTAAACTTATTCCTGAGTATGTTATAATATGTATAAATTTTTCTAATAATCGTATATGATCTTCTTCTGTTCGTGAATATAACAATATATCATCTATGTATACTATACAATTTTCTAGTTGGTTAAAATAATTATCCATGAAATGTTGATATCTTCCTGGTGCATTTTTGTATCCAAAAGGTAGTACGTTCCATTCATAAAATTCTTGTGGTACTGTAAAAGCTGTTAATTTTTTAGATTCTTCTTCTAGCTTTAGATGATAAAATCCTGATTTACAATTAAATTTACTAAAATAATTATATCCTTGTATTTGTCTTACTTTTAATCTTTGTTAGGTATGGGGTAATTATATGTTTTTGTCTTTGCATTTAAATTTCTATAGTCAATAACCATACGACTTTTACCTCTTTTTTGTTCGCTGTGTTTATTTACTATGAATGCTGGACTTGTATGTTTGTTATTGCTTTCTTGTATATATTTGTTTTCTAATAATTCTTTTATATGCATTTTAAATTCTTTTAGATCTTCAAAATTATATTTCAATGGTTTTTAGGTTATTATACTATTTTCATCAATTAGTTCAATTTTTACTTTTGTTTTATGGTTTTCCCATCCTTTTAAGGGATTCTCACTATATAACATATCTAATTTTTCTTGAATTAATTTTAATTTATCTATTGAAAATATTATTAATTCTATATTGTGGTTATTTTCTTTAACATTTTCTAGTTTTTGAGTGATTTTTTCACTTCCTTTAATTCATGGTGTAGGCTTTCTGTTTTTATTACTTACTCTTTTTGCTCCTATCTTTTGCTTACATGAGTAAACCACCAATGTGTTTTTGTTATTACATGGGGATATAGTTTTTCTAGAAATGACATTCCTAAAAGCATGCCTTTATTTATAAATTCATAACTATATATATCTTCTATAGTTAATATGTTATCCCATATTTGTAACTCTATATTTTTTGCTTCATATGTTATCATACTTCCTTCATTATTAAATCCTGTGACGACTATAAGTGTTTTTAGTTTCTCCCATTTTTCATCTGGTAGACAATTATGTTTACACATATTTGCTTTTGCTCTCGTGTCTATCATTGGAGTGTAATATCTGTTGTAGTAATTTTCTACTATATTTTTGCAAGTATATAAATTTTCATACTGCTCTTTTTACTATGATCTTTTTATTTTTATAAGTTATTGTTAATTGGGTATTTTCTAAATTATATGGTTTCATTTCTTCTAACCATTTTATTCCTAATATTATATTATCTTCTTGTTATATTTTAAAGTTTATTAATATTATTATACCTCCTATGATTATTTCTTTTTGAGTTGTTTCCTCTATATGTAACAATTCTTTTGGTAATTCTGGGCATACTTGTTCTTTAGAGGTTATTTCTTCTTCCAATACTAATTCTCTTGGTAAATAATTTTCTTCTTGTCCAGTATTTATTATGATGATATGTTTTCTTTGTTCTATTATTCCAGTTATATAGTAGTGATATGGTTCAATTTCTTTTATTCTTTGATATTCTACTGATTTTCTTGAAGGTTGGGACGTATCAATATTTTTATCTATATTTTTTATTCTCTTTGATGTACTTATCCTATAACTCACTATTTCTAGATCCTCTTCTATGTCTATTTCTTTGTAACTATAATCATTATTATCTATCACTGTAACAATTTGTTCAAAAGGATTCTCTATTTTTGTTTTATTTATCTTATTTTTTGTTGTTATCTATGTTTTGTTGTTAATACATATAGATAACTTCCCTCTCGAGCAACTTACCCCGTTCCAAATGCGTTCCTCTCGGACACTCATTTGCCGCATGAAGGCCAGCCTATGCCTTACCCCACTCACTCTCTCGAGCTGAGTGTTACACTATGGGACTACGGCTCACCCTCTCAGGCTAAGCCTCATGTCGACCCACTCCTTAGGTAATCACTCTAGCGGTCTTGATTTCGCGACCTCCCTCTCGGGCAAGCCGAAAACACATGGGTGGTTTTTTATTTGCTACTGAAAACCCATTAAATTAAACCGCAACCACAAGGTGAAATCACCATCAAAATACATCTAACCTATCAGCAAGCAAGACCCAAGAACAATATCAACACATATTTGCTAAATCACACCGCAAGAATGGGGGTTTTTAGCCACACAACAAGAAATAACAAAATACACCTAAAATGATACTAAATCAAAATGGGTATAAGGAATTAAACCTTGATTTAAGCAAAGGAAGAAGAATGGAGAAGACCCACTTCCAACTTGGGGAAGATGAAATCCTTCATTCTTCAAGTTTCCCAAAAAACCCTCTCCAAACTTGAGAGAAAATATCCAAAAAAGTACTATTCTATTGTGAAAATTAAAATAAATGTTCGACTCCTCTAAAATTAATAAAGAGTTTAGTATTTATGGACTTCAGAAATTAGTGTTGGTGGATCATTCGGCGAGGTTAGTCGAAATCGCTGATTAACTCGGTGATTCACCCTTTGGTGTAATACGTCGCCGTCTTGAATTATCCGTTAACATCGTCATGCTCTGTGTTGTTTGGGGACATGTACTGCTTTGCGGACCTATTCGACGACACACTGACTGCTCCTTTCATCACCTTTTTGATCCTACTCCTTTCATCGTCTTTTTGATCATGCTCCTTCAGGGCTTCTCGTACTGGAACAAAGGGCGGAGTGTGTCCCTTCGGCGAATCGTCAATTGTGCTTGGCGATGCTCAGTCTTCAGCTTCTTCGTTCTTTTCACCCTTTTTTTTTCTTTTTGCGCCTATGTGTCCATACTTCCACTGAAACTTTAAATACCTGAAACTTAAGTGTTTTCATCAGATATTTAGAATAAATAAGCATTTGAGGACACTATTTCTATTAAAATAAAGCCCTAAATTAGTCCAATTTTTGGACTCATCAACACCCCCAACTTAAAATTTTGCTTGTCCTCAAGAAAGCTTAAGTTCAACTGTTCAAAAAGGATGTCTCAAACAGTGCTACACAAGACTAAATCATAAACATACACAACAAAACTCAAATTACTCGTGCATAGATCAATTGTGTACTCAAAGATTGAAGTTGTGAGACAGCATTGCCAAAGATTCTCATGCTCGCAATACTTGCTACTTGTGCAAGTTCAAGCTCAACAAAAAGTATCCAAATGCCCTCACATAAAGAATGATTCCATATTCACACACAGAGGTTAATCAATTCAAGATCAGGAATCAGATGCAA